TATTCAGTATTGTCCCACCCTAGGAAGTTACTGATTCCGAAGTTACTGGTATTGTCAGTAAAATTCTAAGGGGAATACCTAAATATTTATACTAAATATTATTTGTTAATTGTTACCTAATAAATAATAATAATCGTGAATAATCTTTCAATTCCACATTAATAGAGCTAGGATTTTGGTGACTTTTGCATTTTTTTTCTTTAAGTGCTATACAGTTCTAACAAAAAAATTTAATTTGTTTCGTGATATAACAATTTAGTATGTGTAATTTTTATTTTGCATTTTTTTGCATTTTGAAGGTCATTTTTACGTAATATTACAAATTGTATGTTCATTTTGAATTTTGATGTATTTAAACTAATTTTTGTTTATTTTCAGCTTTTTTAAATAGTGTTATGTATAGGTAAAATAAAAATATTTATTTTAAAGATACATTTTTTTCGCTCATCTATAAGTACATTTTTGGCCATTTTTTAAGTTCATTTTTGTGTATTATTTATGTCATCAATACAATCCTAGCTCTATACATTAATAACACAATAAGAAAAAACACATCACCAGCTACCGACTCATATGCTCGAAAGACAAAAACACACACAGACACAAGCAGCACACTTGCACACTAGTGTCACTAGTGGTGTAATATGCAGTAAAATATTGATAATCGTAAAAAACCGAAACGTATATAGAAGTAATAAAAATAATACCTTATAAGTTGTAACTAAGTAAGAACTAAGAAATATAAAATAAGAATACAATGAAACCCGTACCATCGGACAGACTTTCCGGCCGCCACCACCACTGATAAGGCCGTCGCGGCTGACGTTTAAAAATATCCATCCCGCATCCCATCAATAATTTATTACGAATTATAATTTCAATAAATACAATTGTGGAAATTCAATAAAAGCTCTGAACAATAGAAATCGTTTCAGAACTGCGGGGTCTTAATTATAATTTTAAAATCGCGGGGCCTGGAGCAACTTGAAAATTGCCCCCCCCCCCTCGCGCCGTCCCTGATTGTGTTTGGTTTTCCTATTTATTTTTGGTGACAGTCATTTTTATGTTCGGCCAGCTAGTATCCAAAAAAAAAAATTTATTAAAAATAAAATTTTACCTATTGGCTATTTTTATGTATTATATTATATCAATATATCATTATTTTATCGCGATTATCATAATTGAAACGCGGCCTAGCGTGTAACACCGTGGTTAGCCGCAGACCGTGCAGTCACTATTAGTTGCTCACTAAAGCTGCGTTTACACGGGGCGTGAATTTGAGAGTGAACCACGCCACGACACCTTCGTTCGTATCTCACGACTGAAAATCAAACATTGTTTGATTCTACCACGACCCAGTCGTGGGGCCGAAAGCGTGGTTGACTGTCGTGGCTCACGTCTCGTGTAAACGTAGCTTAATGCTCAGAAATGCAATAGTGTGCACTGTCACTGTGCAGTCAAGCGTATAGTCCGACGTCGCTCGCACCCTTAGATGACTATCCGGCTTTTAGCGATGAATCCTCGCACCACATAAACACTTGCTCCTAAACCAACCGTAACCCCTTCCCCCACACCTATGGGTCATTAAAAAAAATAACAATAATTAATACAGATGGCCAAATAATCTATTTGTATTTTATACATCTTTCATGTACTTACGTAAAATTAATATAAATAGGTACCTAAATAATACTATTTAATCATTTCATCATTGATATATATCTATTTTATACATTCCCTCCCGGCTCCCACCATTCAGAAATCCGGCGCATGGGCCTGATGTATACATAATATAACCATTAACTATTTTATATACAAATTTCAAATTGTTATTATAGCTAGGAACAATAACTTATGACATCTATAAATAGTACCAATAACTTGTTTTAAATTTTTTTTTTATTAGTTTTCAGTTTCCAGCTATAAAATTATAGCTCGACAATATTATATGTGTATTGTGTATACATTTATAACAAGAGAATATTACGGCTAGTATAGTAAGATAACAAACATGATAAAGTAATACAATAAAGATAATAATAATATTATCCCACCAAAAACATATATGTAAAATGAGAGCCAAGTTCAATACTATAATATATGCCTTGGTTGTTGACTTCAACGACAAAAGAAGTGAGATCTAAATGGGTGCCAAGTTAGGATAATATATTGAAGCCTAAGGTGTGACTTGGCTACTTTTCATATACGAATTATTATTATAAGTAGGTACCTACTAAAACAGTAATGGAAGAGTGAAGATGATTTTCCGAAGAATAAAATAAGAACTCAAAGCTTTAGAACTTGCAAATGCTATAATATATAATTCGTAGCCAAGTCAGACCTTAGGCTTCAATATATTATCCTAACTTGGCACCCATTTAGATCTCACTTCTTTTGTCGTTGAAGTCAACAACCAAGGCATATATTATAGTATTGAACTTGGCTCTCATTTTACATATATGTTTTTGGTGGGATATCATTACTTTTTGTATGTAAATTATTATAACCTAACCTAACCTAGCCATGACGTATTCTATAAATAAAGTTTATTACTATATAATATAATTCAGTTACTAATATTAATAATAATATTTATTATAAAATATTTTCCGTTGTATATACAGAGTATAAAATATATGTAAAATTAATATACAAATTATTTTAACTCTTTTTGAGTATATTTTTAATTATCATAATTTTATTGACTGTAGTTTCTACTGTTGGGTGGATAATTCATAATTTGTAAGAATAATTATTTAATTATTTTAATTGCAATATTTAAAAAAAATAATATTAATTACATACATAGATAGAAAAAAAAGTATGTTGCTGCGCGCGGGTCGACAATATCGACATATATTCGGCAAGTCGTATTTTTGGAGCGGCGATACGGGAAAGGTTATTTGTCAACATTACATTAAATTAGAGGCAATTCATTAATAAATTGAAAAATTAAACATACGTAATAGATAAAATAATTGCAAAATTATAATAAAATCAATTGATTAAAAAAATTTTCAAGTTTCTGATTTTTTTCTTTGTATTTACCTAACTACCTATCTGTATGCCAAATTTGAACTTTCTAGGTCATCTGGAACTGGGTTAGAATTTTGATCTATAGGTAAGTCAGTGATAAAAATGACGATTTTCGGACGTTAATATCTAAATAACGGTTTGAAGTGTGTTTATGAAATTTAGAGCACATATGTATCTCGTTAGTCTCAATATATGAGCCAAATTTGACATGTTTATGTGGAAAAGTTTTTGAGTTATGAGGGGGTCAAAAGTGGCTCCAAATGGTTCGTGTAATATTACACACGGTGCTGCTCCCCAGTTCTGTTAGCTAGAACTTGGCTTGACACGCTACCGCGTGTCTAGATATACTATATAGGCATATAGCATATGGGTAATGAATTATAAAAATAGACCTAATTGAATTAGGCAGATACAGAAATACAAAACTGGTATATTTGAAAATTTAGTGAAGGTTATTTTTATTTTTAGCTATTATAGCCTTGGATAAGGTAATAAAAGTTAAAATGAGGGGAAAAAACGTACGGAAATATCTATGGAGATAAGGTAATTAGTGAACTGATTAGACTATTTTAGAGGAATGAGGTTAGTGATGAAATTAGATAAGGTCACAGAAATATGATATGTGGAAAAAACATTAGCCCGGGTGACTTCTGAGTAAGATTTCGCTCTGGAATGAAGGGGTGAATCCGGAGATTTGGCTGGAAGTGCTTTTGAATGGCTCTTTTTGATTAGTGTTCTCTTGAAAACTGGACAGCCCCGGAAGTTGGAGGTGGGGTCATTGGAGCAAAGTGCACACTTAGCTGGACTATTCCGGTCCAAATAGTATAACTTGATGTTACAGAAAATGTTCAATACACAATAAGTATAATAATTTATGATCATGTGGTATTGTGGTTATAGCACTGATAATTTATAGTTTACAGTTGGCTAGTTCAGTTACTATATATTAAAATATTTATTGGTAGAAAAATAGTTGCGATGGTTATTACTTATAACATCTGTAAATTGATATAATAGAATAACAGACGTGTCTCTACGCACTACCCACTTGTCAATTGATACATATACAAATCTACAGTCAAGTTAGTCAATATATATATTATATAATATATATACACACACACAAACATACAATTTCAACGTAATTTGCATATCATTAACTAATATACGACTAAAGTCTAAGTTTTAACACTGTTTTGTAATCTCAAATTCCCGCGCTTGACGCGTCTAATGAAATAAAAAATATAATACATAGACAAGTGGACAACTATCACTACCGTCAAATGATGTATTTTTTTTCGCTTATTCAATGGGTATAACACCGCGAGACCATAAATTACTGTACATTTTGTTTCCGTATTTTATTTTGAAAACCTGAACAGTGCCCGGCTCTGCCCAATGACCTACGGGCTACGATCGATAAAATATGGCAGATGAATTTTTTTTATTAAACGGCCGCGGTATATAATTTTTAAATCTCACAAGCGCGGGACTCGGCAGTCGGCACTCTGGTCACGCGCTCTGCCGACGAATTGAACCGCGGTCCACGGCCCTCCTCTTCTTCGATAACCCCCACCACTTATCAATCGTACCGTGTGCTTTTTTCTGTTTGTTTTTATTGTTTATTTACTGTTTGGTGTTTTCGTCTCTTATACCGTCTTGGTATATAAACCACCTATACATCGGCATTCGGGCATCAGGCAATCTGTGTGCCGACTGCTCTCAGGCGAGTGTTTATGCGTTTTCCGGCTCGCCGTCATCCCAGATTGTCCGCCATTGTTGTGTATATACAGTGTTTGACGGCCGATTTACCTGTCATCACATAGTACGTCGAATGTCTCGGAAGTCTCCCGACCTAGTGCACCTAGAGAGTCTGCAGTCGTTCGTCTTATTGGTCGAACGTGATTGATTGCCGATCACGACGACCGCGGTGGTGGTATTTGTACGCTATAGACACGGTCGTAATGTCAGCCGGCGTTTCCGAACAGGTGAAATATAACCATTATTCTTACGTAGGTACTGGCTGTTGCGATTGATACAATTTATAATATTTCGGTATTATTTTGTATTTATTTGTCATGTTCTATGTACTCGTTCAGCGCGTCAAGGGACAAGAACACCAAGGTAAATATGACAACCACAATAATAATGTAATTTTTAGCTCAAAGGTACATAATATTATATACCTACTTACTACTTACATCAGTTTTCATGAGAATTTCCCCATTCTAGAAATTCGCTAAACTAGACAGGTTTAAAATTATCCCACACGTCCTGCACCGGGATGATGAACCATGTAAATGTTATGGTCCAAACATCTCGGTGCATTATTTTTCACACCGGTTTAATCTAACGAATTTGTAGATAGTTTACTTTATGGTCGCTGGGTACTCATGTACATAGATTGAAGACTTAATGTAGATTAGTAAAGCATACAAAATTGCTTTTACTGAAAAAAATATTTTAAGCTAAATATATTTATACCCAGAACCAGTGGCGTATTTACGGGGGGGGGGGGGGGTCCCCGGGTCTGGACCCCCCCAGAAAAAAATATAATATAATATAATTATTACATCGTAACTCGTATGTGTTTTTTTTATATTATAAACTTGTAGGTACCTAATATTTAGACCCCCCCACAAAAAATTTCAAAATACGCCACTGCCCAGAACTAATTGTTTCTGTGTTTTTTAAATTAGTCGATGGAGCAAAAGATCCCAACAAAGTAAAAGAGGCTGCACAATTTGAAACTGTTTGGCATCCACAACTCCAACAACAACCTGTAAGTAATAGTAATTATTTTTGTGTACCTAGTAATATAAATTCAATTATAGGTTTTTAAAATCATAACTTGTTTGCGTAACAAAAATTATCAAAATACATTTTAATTTTCTTTTAAAAGTTAAAATAGTTAAAATTAATAATATTTTTTAGACCTTAAATATTTGATTTTATAATATCTCATATTAAATTAACAATTTTAATCATTTTACAAACATATTTCAGGGTTATAATAATGCTATGACACCGGAGCAGTATTATCAGTATCAAAACCCAGCTCCATATCAATATCAAAATCCAGCTGCATATAATATGGGAGATCGATCTTGGACAAATGCTCCTGAAGCGTTAACATATGTTGGAGGATATTTGCCTACCCCAGAGACTTATAGTCAACCCAGTGTTTATAATGCTCAGTATAATCATCCTACCCCTACCCCTGGCTATAACTATTACATTGCTCAAAAGCCATTTGAAGGATATTATAGAGCTGGAGATCAAATGTATGGAGTTCCAGTAAATGAACAAATAAAAAGCATTGAACAAGATGTACAAGCATTAAATGTAAATGATTATAGAGATAATAGTGGTATACAGCAGAAAAAAGTATCAACATGGGCTGCTGTCCCAAACCAACCAGTGAAACCCGTAATGTCATTGACTTCTGTAACCAAAAAGAAAAGTCCAGGCATGCCTCCACAACCTATAATACCTGGTAAAAATGATGTTCACTGGGAATCAAAGGCTATATCTAAACCTCCTCCTCCTCCAGTTGTACAGGTTCAAGTTCCCCTTATTCAAGCACCCATTATTCAAGCTCCCATTATTCAAGCTCCTGTAGTTGTGGAAACAAAACCTCAAAATTGGAATGATCATATAAATGTTCCATCCTATAATGCTCCTCCTATGGCAGAAATACCTACTCACATACCTCCACCCGATCATATTAGGCATGTACCGCCCCCAACTATAATCATGTCATCACCACCACCACAACAGATTTTAAATTCTCCAACAGAAGAAATCACCAAGCGTAAATTAATTGACGAACTAAAAATGAAAAATCATTATAATCCTGCTGAGTATTCTAATCCACCTGAAGGATCAAGATTTTTTATTATTAAATCTTATTCTGAAGATGATATTCATCGATCAATTAAATATGAGATATGGTGCTCTACCGATCATGGAAATAGACGATTAGATCAAGCATTTAGTTCATCAGATAAAAAAAAAATATTTCTTTTGTACTCTGTAAATGGATCTGGACATTTTTGTGGCGTAGCAGAAATGATATCAGCTGTTGATTATAATTCTTCTAGTTCAGTATGGTGTCAAGATAAATGGAAAGGGCAGTTTGGTGTTCGGTAATTTTAAACAATTGTTAATGTTGTATAGATAATGAAATTTAATTGTTAATTCTTTTTAGATGGATATATGTAAAAGACGTACCAAACAACCAATTAAGGCATATTCGTTTGGAAAACAATGAGAACAAACCAGTGACTCATTCTAGAGACACACAAGAGGTTCCTTATAATCAGGGTGTACAAGTATTGAGAATAATTCATTCTTATAGACATGAAACTTCAATTTTTGATGATTTTCAACACTATGAGAACTTACAAAAATTAGAGGATAACAAAAAAAGTGCAGCTCCTCTTCCTCCATCATCACATTCAACCATTAACAAATATAATAAAATGGGACCAGTTCAGTTTTTAAATGATAATCGACCACCACAGCAAAACCATTATAAAGTTTGTTTGTTTGCTTACATTTTTCTTCTCCATATTTTAAATTTTTAAGTGAATTTTATTTGTCTTTTGTTGTTTTATTTAGGATTGGGAAAATAAGCCAAAAGATACGAAAGTTGAAGGTAGGGAAAATTTTTATCAACCTCAGAAATTTGAAAACTTCAGTCACAACCACCGACCTAGACCCGATAATTATAGAGGCCGTAACGAGAATTATAGTAAAGAAGAAAACTTCAGGGAACCTAACAAAACTTATCGTGGTGATCAAAATAGAATACGTAATGATCATCATTGTAACTGGGATGAACAATACAGAAGTGGAAATAATTTCAACAGAGGACGAAGGGGTAGAGGTGGACCTTCCGTCTTCGTGAATAGTAACTTGAAACAGACTAATCGTGGTTATGAATAAAACCCATGTTGGTTTATTTATTTTTTTTACCTGTTTAAACTAAATGGGATTGTAGAATTGTTCACAGTGTTTAATCCTACGTTCCTAAATTATTTTCATTTTATTTGGAGAAATTGTTTTTATTTTACCTTAATATGTTTGACCATTTTATTCTGCTATATTCATTGTTGACAGTTTTATCAACAATTAGTAGTTTAGGAGTAATTACTAATTTGAGTACTCCTATCTTAAATAATTGTAAGTTATGTATATCAATAATAATAATAAATAAACATTCAAATTAAATAAATTTAGTTTTATACCTAAATGTATAGAATACTTAATTTTGCATGTATATCGTTTGATAAAAACAAAATAATCATGTCTTACAAAAGAACAATAATCCTGGATCAATAGGAACTAATCTTCTATTTCATAACTTCTGGACTCTGGTCCACGAGCAAATATAATTAAATATTTTATCTATACTACGTTCAGAATGAGAACGCATCTGGTTCTAGTTTGCACACCCTTTTCACTCCACAGACCATTGCGGTTGACACCATGTGCCCTGCGGTATGCGCGAGCGGTGTGTTCTTATTCTGAACAGAGTATAGTAGTAATAGGAAGATCGATTATTGTGGCCATAATAATTGTCCTATCCAAAAGGGAGACACTTTTATAATTGCTGATATATATTGAATGAAACTATAAAATAATTACTACTTTGTGTAGTAACTACACTAACTGCTTATTCATTTTATTTTTATGGAAAGTTAATATTTATAAATAGTAAATTAGCATTTGAATACTACTTAATAGGTAGTTATAATATAACTACGCCTCAATGGTGTTCATTTTATGACTAAAACCTTATCTGATAAAAAATATACTTACACAAAAATTAAAATATTGAATAAATTCGGGACCATATGAAAAAGGAGATGCTGCAGATTTCAAAAGTGTGATAATGGTATAATACCCCTAATGTGTGATGTCCGATCACACTAAGATTAATACAGCTTAAGTACACTGTAATGAATTACATTGTTTAAATGGTGATTTCTTAATTTATTGATTTAATATGTGTGGAAAATGGATATAGTTCATTAATCTTCAAAATGCAAATAATAGTTTTAATATAGAAAAACACTTAACTATTTAGACGAACATGTTTTGCATATTCAATCTTGTCTTATAAAATAGTGATTTTCATATTTGTAGCTGGATAATATATCATCAGTTATTTTAAAGAAGCAAATAAAAATAGCTCATTAATCAATGTTCGGCTGTTGATTGTGTTGCATTAAATAGATGTTACATATTTTATAAGTTTCAATGAAGGACTAAGATAGACCATCTTAATTTGTGGTTTCTATATCATAATTTTACAAATGATATTTTTATTTTAAAGGATGGAGATGATTCAATTTTTGAGATAAGCAAATTCAAGTTTGGCTATTGGTGTTTTGAGAGATATAGTGGCAAGAAACATAAAAAAATATTGGGTTTTAACGAGATAAGCAACCGTAATTATAATTTCCTTGGCTAAAATTAAATTATTTTGCAACTGCACTGCACCTAATTCCACATCAAAATATTTTAAAATAATTCCACATGCCACATATAAATTCATTGCATAATTAATTGTTTTCGCTATTTATTAATAATAAGTTATAATAAATACAATCTAAGACAATCTTCTATAAAGGTCCTTGATACCTATAAGGCTAAACATTTTAAAATTAAAAACGAAATAGCTTGGTTTTATATACTTAAATATAATTATTATAAACTGCCCAGGATATGGTGTAGTAGGTATTATTTTTAGTGTTAAGGATTTTAAACGAATACAATATGCTAATTAGTAATTTTCAATAATCAATATAAAAAGTGAGTTGGCGTTAATCTTGTTGTAAACAAAAAAAAATAAAAAATATTGAAAATTAATCAAATAAAAATTTAAAAAAGCTGAAAATAAGTACCGCACACTTTAAAATTTGCTACTGCACGTTTAATATTAGCCACTGCACACAATTTTAGGCCCTAACTTTGGCTAAAGGTAACATTTTTTTTTATAATAATGTATTATTATTATTATTATCTATTAGTAATTGACATTATATAATTACAAATCACAACAGAAGAATTTTGAACGTTTGATGCTTACACAGACACAGATGAGTGTTGAAGCCTTGAAGGAATGTAAATTTTCCAGAATTTTTCTAATCAAACTGTAAATTAATGGACTGAAGAAACAATAGATCAAAATCACAAACAAAATAAATGTAATGACAAACTTATCTGGTGTGGATAGATGTGATCATTTTTATAATAAAACACATGAATATAAAATATATTTATCAATATTATCCTAGATATTATATGTTAAATGTTGGTTGTATTATTTAAATTTATAATCATTCAAAAGTTCAAATGATGGCACTGAAAAGGTCTAAAAATGTTGATTTTAGTGATCTTTTTCTAGGCAAATACAAATACACATTAAAAACTTTTTTTTTTTTATCCCAAAGAAACAAATATTAATATTGTCTTAAAGAAGAAAAAAATACAACGTATTGTACAAAAAATATTACCTACTATAGTAAATTTAATTTAGGTATTCAATATTTCCACAAAAATAAATGATTAATTATACATAATAGGAATACTGTAAATGTTGTTTTATAAAAGTAAAATTACTTTGTATTGCATGATATAATAGACATTTTAATCAGAATAATTTATTACATACATAATTAAACTTGTGCTATTAAAAGTAATGGTAAAATGTATTATCGTTAGTCAAATATCATACATTTGACTATTTTATTTTAACATACAGTAGAAATACTGTTATACTTAAGCTACAAAATCTAGAGGTCTATTAAATCCACCTTTACGGTTCATGTACTGTCGATATTTACGTTTAAGTATAACATGAACATCACCAACATTATTGCCGTCTACTTCTTTACCATGAGTTGTGTCAAAGTTACAAAATCCCATCATTTTCATCATTTCTTGTTCTTCGGCAGTTTTTCCACGCAGATCTTCTTCTGTAACTTTAGGAGCAGTGTGTTGGACAGACCTTGTGTATTTTTTGTCTTTTTTTGGCGGAGTTTTTGACCTCGATCTTCTTAAATCACGATTTCTAGAACGACGCCTCTCTCTTGAATGTCGTCTTACTGGTGATCTTGATCTTGAATGACGCTGACGGGAGCGGCTTCTTTTGCGCACATCACGTCTCGCCCTCGGTGAAGTACTTCGAGAACGAACACGCCGTGGACTTCTTGAATGTTCACGTGGTTCACGCCTTGCTCTTGGTGATGAGCTTCGAGATCTACCTCTACGTGCTCTAGTTAAACTAGTGGAACGATCACGATGTTTATCTTTAGTACGGTCATGTCCTTTATCTTTATAACGTTCTCGTTCCCTCATAATTGTTCTGTAAATAAAATTAATACAAATATTAATAATACATTAATACTCCATAATTGTCTGTGTAATTCATCATCATATATATATATATATATATATATATATATACAGTATGTTTTTCTATCCCTTTAGGACAAGTGCCTGATACCCAATTATAACATACCTACCAATGATGGTAGTTTGTGAAAATTTCAAGTTCAAAAATCTTTCAACTAGAATTCAAATAACCTTTAAAGACGTTAAAGAAGTTTGAATCAGATATATGCCAACTATGTATAAATGTATAATACATACACACACGGTTCAAAAATTTTAATTTTGATTTTATTTCTTAACTTAAATCAATTTAAAAAATCTCTACATAATATAATGTGGGCACGGACTTGGTCCGTTATTGTGGGTAAAACAGACAGAAAATCAGTGCAATATAATCGATCGAGTATTTAAAATATCATCTACTAACTAATGTAGTAGGTACCTTACCTACTTAAATTCAATACTTTTTTCAAGAACCCAATATTTTACCAAAGTATATTATGTAAATATATGAATTATTAATAACCAAATAGCTTTTGACAAACTTACCAATAAATGATTCCTTATGATTATCTATTTAAACACACACCTAATTCAATAAGACATAAACACGAAAATATTAATATTAAATTATTGATACTGTCTATAAAATGAAAATTCAAAGTGTTTTGATTAAATATTTAAACACAACCTTCAAAATTGCATGAAACTTCTTTCACATTAGGCATTTAACACACTATTTATAATATTATTATTTTATTTAAGTAGTAATTGGTGATTGACAGAGATAATATGTAACGGGGACGCTGTTATTTTCCAACAAGGTGTATTGATAAGGTGTCGTCACGGACTAAGATATACAGGACTGGTAACAATAAGGCTGGAGGGTGGTAGAGGGCTGAATACCAAATGTTTTCAATAGGTACATGTGGGACACCTAGCGCTATCTAGTAGGCTTATAGCTCATCTACCATTACTTCTCTATAAATACATTGGCACAGAAAAATAAATTACATTGGTCTCATTGCATATTTTATATTCATTCCATTAGTAAATAGTAGAGTATTTAGACTTTAGAAATTTACTTACTACTTACTAGAGCGTCTAGACCTACTGCTTGATTTATTTAAATAGTTACGACTATTTTCTACATTTGTGTTGAAATTATAAAATTAAAATGCCTCGCCAGTGTTTAGTATTTTTATGTACCAGTAGTACCACTAAGGAACGGTCCAATGTTCAGTTGTTTAAAGTTCGAGAATCGTGGGAGGAAATTATTAATGAAGTAAATGGTAATCATAAACGTAAAGTGACATACGTCTGTATAGAACATTTTAGGAAAGAAGATTTGATTAACAGTTATAGTGGGTGTAATGACTTGGAAGTAACAAAACATAATTATTTGTATTTAGCCACTTAGGTAGGTACCTACTATATAAGTACCTACCTACTTGGTCATTATAAATTATAAATTATAACTCAATAATTCTATACACAGTTTAAAAGGAATTTAATTGGGCTAAAAATGGTGCTTTTCCATCAGTATTTAATTCACCATTTGATATTCACAAAACAAATGATATGCTTGCAGAACCTCGAGAATCTTGTACACCTGTTAATGAGTCATTTAGGAAAGAATTGTTTGGTGAACCCAAGCCTAAGAGATTATGTCAAACACCAACATTAATAGTATCAAGTATGTTTGTGATTAATTGTCATAATAGACCATGTAGATTATTTAATTTATATATACCTACCTAACTTCATAGTTCATATGATTTATTAAAGGAATCAAAACTGTGGTATGAAAGTTTATTATTGCCAGTTGGTTGGTCATTATATCATGATGGATGTATTATTGCATTGTATAAGCTGATTAAATTCATAGAATTTAATGAAGCTAAAATTGTTATTAAAAAACAAATTGTTTTTGAATCAAATAGTTTAAAAATGAGCTATTATGTTAATTAAAAGCGTCATTATCCTAAAAATTTGGGTCTACAACAATTAACATACCCACTTGATACATTGCAAATTACTGAAACCCTTCAATTGTTTGAACAAAAAGAAATATGCCAAGGAGGTCCCAGTGTCATACATTTTTCAGGTATGAGTTTTAAATGTTAAATAAAACAGCTGTATGGGTACCTACCTAAACCAATTTTTGTTTAGAAATTCGGGTTAAGAATACTTATTTAGAGAATACAACCTGGCGCCATAATGAATGTTCTATTCTAACAAGTTCAAAAAAAAAGATGTAAAAGGTGCAATTCATTGTTCTCTTATTTTAGAGAGTATAAAAAAAGATTATCTATAAGAACTAAAACATATGTCGGAACAACTCTCACTCCTACAAGACACAAAATAATTAAAGGAATGATGAAAAAAAAATCGAAAAATGTTAAGAAATCCAACAAAAGGTTAAATTAATTTAAACTAGGTAATTACCTATTTATTTATTAAAATACTTTTTAATATTTTACTTTTCAAAGGTTTAAATTAAAAATTAACCAATTAAATTGTACATTGAGTGAACTACAAGATAAATCAAAGAACTTAACAAATAAATCATTAAATGATTTAGTTGAACATACAAACTTAAATAGTTCACAAAAAACAATAGTCCGAGAAATCGTAAATGCTAGTAAAGTCACCAATTTAAAAAATAGACGTTATTCAGAGAATTGGATTTTATTATGCATGTTGTTGAAAATAAGGTAAAAATATTCACTTAGACAAAGAGTGGTCAAAAATATTAATTATTAATTTTTTTCAGATCACCTTCCACTTATGGATTTTTAAGGGAACAAGTATATCTTAGTCCGTGGTTTTGGGGTAGAAAAAAAAAAACTGTAATGGAATGTAATACCCAATGGTTTTGAACTCTTCGCCATTCTCTCAAGCCGACTGAACTCCGAAAGTTGAAATACAACAGTTTTTAGTGTGCATAAATCATTGTTTGATCTGTTGATCATCAGTTTGCAGTATAATTAAATATATTTTTTTTTAAATTTTTTTTCAAACGTAAAAGGTTTTATCAGTTATTTTATTATTAACTTTGAATTGTTGTATTGCTATTGAAGTGTAATATTTGATATTAGGAATGCGTAAATAAAATTGTTTACAACAGTATTATACAAATTAAAATTTACAGCGTAATATAATGTGTAACGGCATAGGTATTTCAGTATAATATGTAACATTATTTAATCTCGTTTTTAATGAAAATATTCTCTTTTCCTTTTGATAACATAAAATATCTTAATCAGATTATTGTAAAAAAATAATTAATTTCACCATAAACGATTTTATTATTTAAAATGTATAGATACGTATATTATAATATAATCAATTGCTTTAACTCTTTGAGGGGCGAAAATTTCCTTTGGAAAAAAAACCCATGTGGGCAATATGTCTCTTTACCATAACATTTAGTACGTATCAGACCAGCGGCAGTGATATTGTTTGATGCATGTATAAGATGATAATAAGGTGGTTGGCACGGACAGGACTGGACACGAGATGAATATTGTGGTTACGAAATGTTTTTCAACAGGCGGAGTTCGGGGGGATATTTTCCTTTTAGCATTACTAGCGCCGTCTTAGTGGATACTTATGGAACTAGAAATTTGTATGATGTGTTCTAGTTCCATAAGTATCCACTAGGACGGCGCTAGTAATGCTAAAAGGAAAATATCCCCCGAACACTGCCTGTTGTAAAACATTTCGTAGTCAACCCCCCCACACCCTCCAACCTTGTCGTGTCCAGTCATACAGTCGTATCTTAGTCCGTGGTGGTTGGTATGCTGTCCGCCATCAAAAAAATATTAAATATAATTTTAAAAGTGGTTAAAATAGTAACCACCGCACCTGAACGGTAAAAAAAAAGTGGTTAGCATACTAACCACGGCCCCTCAAAGAGTTAAAACATGTTTAATTGATACACAGTTGTTAAAATCGACTTTTATAATAATTATCTGAAATTACATATTTTTAATGAATGTCTTTTTTTTGGAATTTGGTATAGCAGGTATATGTAATCTCGTATTGAATAAATAAAATATAAATGCTAACATGTAAATTGTAATATAATATGTATTTATACATGGTATTTTTTTATCGGGGTATATTATGGGTTATAGTGTAAACATCATATTATTTAAATATTATAGAGACAAACATTTTAAAATACCTACTCGAAGTTATATCGCGATGATTATTTTAATTTAATTTAATTTTTTATCATATTTAATTTATATGATTGAGTGTATAGTCGTATGGATTTAATATTTAAAGTTCATAATACCTACTTAATATGGTTTACACGTTTTTATTTTTTCTATAAAATATAACATAATATTAAAGTTTAAACACTGTTTTTGGCATTGTATGTTTAACTAAAAGTTATTTTAAAATTCAAGGACGTGTTATAATCAATATTGATATGAGCAATAACTAATATTGATTTATATTCTATATTCGGATCTAACTTTAAAATATATATTTGCTACCTTTGTAGTACCTTTGTATAATGATGTACCTATTTCAGTGCAAAATCTAATGTGTGGTTATGCCTTTAGTTAATATATTATGTACAATAATATCAAAACTCACATACCGTCAAAAAGTGATTTCCTAGTACAGAAGATAGGTATCAAGTTTTGTTCAAATTAGGATATTACAAATCAAGTCAATAATTATTTAGAAAATATGGTATCGGTACATGCACGTATACGAATGCGGGGGTTTAATGGTTCAAACCTAAACCGAAATGTTTTCAAACAATATTATTTTTCGACATTCAGCTATTATATTATTATTTTACCTATGTAAAATAGAATTTTGAATTTTTTTAAATATTATTTTGTATCAACTTTTCGATTATATTAACGTTCACATTTTCTATACAATACATATTATTATTTACATTTCTTGATTGGTTTATATAACTGTCCATGTTGTAT